TAGTCTCACTATGTGTGGCCTTAACAGCATTCTCACTAAGGTCCCCACTCATGAGTCATGCCTTTAGTGGTTTACCTCCATTTCCCCTTCCCAGTGAACTCAGGACCTACCTGGGGAAATAGGCCACCCAGAGCCTGCTGGCCATGGCTTAATGTATTCTGATCGTTGTCTCCAGTGAGCACCTGCTACCCTGGGTTTGGCCCTACCTCCGGGGTCTCCCCAGCCCTCATCTAGCACCTCACACCCCAATGCCTGGGCAGTGCATCGTCTAGAGGGGATTGTTTTGCATCCTGATATACTCTCTCTCTCTCTCTCACTCACTCACTCATCTTTTCCCTGGGCCTGTGAGCTAATTGGAGAGAAGGAGGGGGAGGAGGGGGACGCTGCTTGCCTTCCCGTTATCTGCAGCAATCCTGGGTGACTAATGCTCCCAGTTGGTGAAAAGGCAGTGTAATCAAAACATTTTTTTTTTAGTCCTTAAAGTTAGTCATTCTTCCAGAGTGGAGGAAAGGGTGGGGGGAGCTCACAGCAAGCGCCATGAAATGCAAGCTGAGAGGCTCCTAGTGTTGGGTGGAACCAAAGCATGTGCTCTGGTGGCTCTCTGCAGATCTAAGGTCTGGGACCCTCCTCCTCGGGGGCCCTTAGCTAATCTTCCTCCACACCCTCGTTTGCCCTGACTTTCCTTGACATCTGGGTTATGGGCCCCCTGAAGGTCTTTCAGGCTGAGTCAGGAGATGCCCTTTGCTCTCACCCTGCCAGGTGCTGCCATCTGCTGGTGCCAGCTTTCCAAAGGGCAGGAAGCATCCATATTAAATTGTTCTTTGTTAGGGCCTGATCGCGTGCTGGCCCTTCAGAGCTGGGGCTCCTTCTGGCCCACATGCTGGCTTGAGACCCCACTGCACCTCGACAGAGCTAAAGACCGTCAGAGGTGGCTGGAACTTTGGGAGTCATTGAGGAGAGGTGATGGACTCAAGTGGTAAAAAAGCAGAAGCAGAACTAGGCTGCCCAGGTTGGACTCCCTCCTTCATCACTCCATGGCTGTGCTTCACACCTGTATGAATGACACACAAACTATGGCAACAGTGATAGTACCTCCTCCCTTATAGGGCTGTCATAAGGATTAAATGCTACTTGCCCAGTTAGTTGCCTAGAACAGTACATGGCGTGCCTATGTTGACTATTAACTGTTTGTCAAAATAACAAACTAAGATGGCACACATACCATCTTACCCCCTTTGCTCATTCATAGCAGGCATTACTAATCAATCACAGAATGTCTTCACAAGTAGAAGGGCGATTCCTCAATATAGTATTCTCAACAGCTGAAAAAATAGGCAGTCTAAATTGACATATGGAATGATACCCACCTGCCAACCTTGATTTAGTCTGGACCCTGCACATTGGACCCAATCCCCTTGGCTGTTGCCAAGATAATAGGTTGCTTTCTACAAATGGACAGCGAAGCGCTGTCCAGGGAGATGAAGCCCATGGGAAGAAGCAAGTAACTCTCAACCCACTTGGAGGCAGAACCAAGGCCCAGAAGGTGTTCCTAGTCCTGATTACTGCTTGCTAGCCAAGCTTCAGATAGGACACTTCACTCCGACCTTTAGGTAGTCAATGTGGGCTTCCCATCCTCCACAAACTCTTTTACTCTGGCATCCTCTTCTTCTGCCACTCCGGCTTGTCATTTCATGTCATTCGCTCTTGGCTTCTCAGGGAACTCTGTTTCAGCGGTAACCTTCTAGGCAGGTGCCAAGCAGGAAGAGCGCTGCAGGCCTGGGTCCTGTTCTGCTTCTGGAACCTCCCTGAGCCTGGCATAGTAAGAGAGTCTGGCCAGCCATAAACTTCATATGGGAAAGGCTGGGACAGAGCAGGATGTAACATGTCCTGAGACAAGGCCCCATAGAAAGCATTTGTATATTCTGAGTTAAAGACTCCAGGGAGAGGTCGGGGAAATAATAAATCAGTTCTTCTACAGCTTTATTGATGAAATAGACCTCTGCCACCTGACATCTGGAGAAGAAGCGATATTTACAAGGCTTGCAATCAGGAGCATCACCTCTACCTGAAGGGCCTCCACTCTCAGTGTTTACTTATAAACCCACTCTGCTCCTTCCCACCCCTCCTCTGGAGAGGCAGGATCAACCTGTATTGCACTGTCCTTCGGTTATAGAAAGGCAAGTCATAGGTTCTAATCCGGCAGGCCAACCTTTCCTCAACAGTGAGATATATGCATGCATTCCTGTGCACAGCCACCTGGGGACAAGTGCCACTCACAGGCAAGTTCACAGAGGGAAGCTTCAAGATGTGCAGAACAGGAAGAGGCCTGACTGTCCACCCTCAGCCCTGCTTACTGAGAGGAAGGAAGGCCATGTGTTAAGCTCAGAGACTTGCAGACACTTTCTAGACAGACCCTGGAAGCCAGCATTATCCCCAGTAACTGAGAAGGTCTTGCTGATTATGTTAAAAGTCTGAGGTGGACGGTAAACAAACAGCCCCAGTTAGGCCACGAGCTGAATCTGTTTCTCCCAGAAGATTCATATTTAGCTTCATTCTCAGACGTCAATGATTGCTCAGACCTGCTCATTTCTCTGGGCTTGCCTCTCTATTCGGATCCTGTCTCCTCTGTCCTATTTCCCAAGAACCTCTAGAAATAGTGGTTCTCAATCTGCAGGTCACAACCTCTTTGGGAGGGTTCAAATGACCCTTTCATAGGGATCGTATACCCTGCCTATCAGATATTTATGTTATGATTCATAACAGTAGCAAAATTATCATTACATGAGGAACTGTATTAAAGAGCCACAGCATTAGGAAGGTTGAGAACCATACTGCTCTAGAATCAACGAAACAGTGAACTTGGAAATGGACTGAGGGAGACTTCAGTAGTGTTATCCATCTACCCCTCCCAATGACCAGGGAACTGATGTGACTTTTGTGAAATGGGTCATGCTGCCAAAGAGGGAATTAGAGCCCCTGAATTCTTCTGACTCTTAGTCCACATCTCATCCATTCTTATCCCGCAAAATGTGTCTGCTACTCTAACCCACAGCCCCTAAACAGACTTCCCTCGGTGTACAGCAGCAGCCTAGTCTAAAACTTTTGAAAATATTTATCACTATGGGCAATGTCTGAGGGAGGTCAAGTATGGGGAAGGGAGGAAATGGGGCTGAACCATCCATAGGTGCTGGAACATCAAGAGACTCATATACACATACTACCCCCTTCCATTCATCTCCCCTGTACAAAAAGCAGTAAGGACCAAGACTCTCCCTGTCCAAGCTCTCTGCCTGAGCTGCGATTCAAGGATTCTGGGTCTTCTCTTCAAGACTGCTCCTGCACTCATGCTTGCTTGTTTCCTGAAAAATAGCATGGTGATGGAGCTGATCTGTGTGATGTCTTTGGGGACCCACCTCCCACTGGAAAGCCTTTTTAAACTAAACTATGAACCATCCCTTGTTCCTCCTACCCTGAGGCTCTGTGCCTTAGGAATTTGAGACATATTGTATATACCTTCTGCTCTAGGTCACAGGGGCTTAGCTGCTCCCCAGGCTGTGCCTACAACCATTAAGGTCCATTTGAAGAAAGAAAATTCCCTAGAGAGAAGGTCAGGGGTAGGATTAGGCAATGGTTCTCACTGCTTTCTTTTCTCTCTTCTAAAACAGGAACTTGGGCAGAGAAACCCAGTTCAGTGCAGAACTCCAGGCAGTTTGTGATACAGTGAGGCTCTGAATTCTGAGGCCAAAGACAAATCAGCTGTTTGCCTAGCTCTTGTTCTTCTAAACTAACAAGGCCCAGGGCCCCCTAACAGGCTGCCCAGCACCTTGTTCTAGCTCATCTTGTTTCTTCATCTTGTTCTTGTTCTTGTTCTTGTTGTTCTTGTTCTTGTTCTTGTTCTTCTTCTTCTTCTTCTTCTTCTTCTTCTTCCTCTTCCTCTTCCTCCTCCTCCTCCTTCTTCCTCTCCTCCTTCTCTCCTTCTTCTCTCTCCAAAAGACAGTAGCTCTGCCAGGGCATAGGGACAAGATCAATACTCCTTTTGCAAGGTTGTATCCCCCAGGTTAGCACCGTACCTGGCACATTTTTGTTAAATGAAGAAATAGAACTTGGGGTCTTTCCTAACATTGTTGCAGAGTTCTTCATATACCCTCCTCTTTTGTTGTTGTTGTTGTTTTGTTTGGTGGGTTTTGGTGTATTGTTTTGTCTTGAGACAGGGACTGATTATGAAGTCCAGATGGGCCTTGCATTTGCTACATAGCCAAGACTAGCCTCGAACTTGTGACTCCCCTCTGCTATAACCTCCAGAGTGTTGTGATTACAGTTACATGTCATCACACCGATGCTCTCTTCCCTCTTAAATAGCCGCACAGAATATTCTACCATGAAAAGCACCTACTCTGCTTCCATTTGAGCCCCGAACCACTTTGAAAGGCAGGGGGGAGGGGAGGAAAGGGAAGGGGACACAGGGACACCTGCTTGTTTTTACAGGTGATGCATGTGAGACATGCAATTTTTTTTTTTTTTTTTTTTTTTTTTTTTTTGGTTTTTCGAGACAGGGTTTCTCTGTGTAGCTTTGCGCCTTTCCTGGAACTCGCTTTGGAGACCAGGCTGGCCTCGAACTCACAGAGATCCGCCTGGCTCTGCCTCCCGAGTGCTAGGATTAAAGGCGTGCGCCACCACCGCCCGGCTGAGACATGCAATATTTTATAGATACGAAAAGAGTATAGAGTAAACCCAAGCTTCTCTTCCACCGCGTCTCCTCTAGCCCCTTCCCCACGACAATTTCTGCTTGTGTGTCTGGGTTAGAAACCCCATATCAGACAGAGAAACTGCGGTGACTAGCCGGTGAAGGGCTCTATAGAGACAGCCTCACAGCCCGATCCAGGGCGCAACCGTATCTTGCAAAGGAAACTCCTCCTCAAACAGCAAGCAAACCAAGGGTTAACGCGTAGACCCGCCTCCTTCCCGCCCCTTCCGGGTAGAGGGGGCGGGTCCTACATCACTTCCTGGAGACTGACCGAATCCGGAAGTGATCCTCGAGAACCAACTTTCTGCCGAGGACCCCGGTAGCAGGCGTGGGTTTGGGACCATGAGCTGGTGAGTGAGGCCGGGCGGCGTCGGCTGGAGCCAAGGGCAGCCCGACAGCCCCGCTCCTTAGGGGTTCCGGGAACCTCCTCGGTGCCCTCCCGGAGGCTCCATCTCTCGGCCGGACTCCCGGGAAGGCAGGCTGGAGGATCTCCTAGCCTGGGACCCCTGCTCCTGATCCTGTTGCCTGCTCTCTCTCCCACCTCGTCTCTTTCCAGCTCCTTGGTGTGAGGAATCTCTCTTCCCTCTTCTCTCAAGTATCCATTGAGGTGGAGTCAGTGTCTTCCTTCGCTCCCGTGGGCATCTCTCCACCACGCCTGTCCGCTCCGGAGCTGTGTCCCTCACTGAGGCAGTCTAGGCACAGTTCCCTGATTCAAAAAAATCCATCTGCTTTCAGACAACTGAAATAGTACCACCCAAACAGTCCTCAAAAGACAAAATTCTTTTTTAAAAATTTAAAAGTTGATTCTCACATGGAAGGGGCCAGAGTCACACCACACACACCCTTTTAATGTGTGACTGGACTGTTTGAATCTTTCCAGGGCTATGAACCAATGCCCGCCCTCTAAAATAGACATAGTTCTCTCAAATTTTATGGGATTCGTCAAACCAAGGAGGCCTAGAGCTGGGGTGTCGCAGTTGCCAGTGGTGAGGTGATCACAGTGGACACTTTCTAATGTTTGTGTTTAGTTTGTTGTAGAAGGTTCGCTTTCCCCAAAGCCTTATTTATTCGTTGCTCTGTTTTTTGTTTTTTAGGGGTTTTTTTTTTATGTTCACAAGAAAAAAGCTATGAATTTTCTGCCTTCCCAGGGCTTCTTTAAAGGCTGTCCATGCCAAGGACTTTACCGTTAGTGTCCACAGTACCCCGCCTCACAAACTCCAACTGTTTATAATGCATTTTTATGAATAAATTGGCTTCCAGAGAGGTACCAGATGAATCAGTCCTCTTTAGAGCCCAAGTTCTATTAATGTAGGGGCCATACTTGCTCAGAGCTCCCAGCCTGTTATGCAAAATAAGTGCACGGTAGTCAACTGTGAATGAATGAAATTAGCTAGTCACCCTCTGGGAAGGCTTTCACGCTTGACCACCAGTGGAGACCAAGCTTTGGCCACCAGCAGCTCATGTCAGTCAATGTCAGAGATAGCTCTCTAATGTACGGTCTAAACCATTTCTGTCCCTTCCTTCACCAGCTTCTCAGACTGAGATTAATTTGTGGACAGATTTCAGGCAGCCGGAGAAGTGGTGAAGGGAAACCCCCTGCAATGCTCTAATAAGCCCCAGCAGGAGCCGTCCAGTTCCCCTCAACCTTTCGTTCCAAGAATTCAACAAAGGGCTGGAACCCCCAGAAGCTAACTTCCCTGCCTTGTTATAGCTTGGCTACTGACAGGGCAGGTGGCACTTCCGCAATTCCCTTTCCTAAAGGAATTGTTTCTTTGAAGCCTCCGTCTGGGTCTCCCAGCCTAATGAAGCCGTCTTGTGTTGTGCACCTTGAGTCTTTAAATCTCTCTTGCTTTATTTTATTTTTTTTTGAAGTAGAAAGCAGAAAATACATGTGCTTTTTTGTTTAGACTGGCATTTATACTTTTAAAAAATGGAATGTGTTTTTTTTTTTTCTTCCTCTTTACTAATTGGAAAGAGAGTAGAACAGAGACCACAGAGGTATGATTCTCCGGATGAGCTGACACAAGTTGTTTTCATCTGTCTTTCAGAATGTTTCTTTTTCTGAAAAACTAGCGGCGGCCCATTTCCTGAAGCCCATCAGGTTGGAGAGAATTTAAATTGGCAGCAACTACCAGGAGCTGAGGTTTTCATGAACTAATTTACCAGTACGGGCACATCTTAGTACCTCCTCAGATTGAGGGTCACAACCAAAAGGGTGGCTTTGTCCCTGGACGCTGAGATTCTCTTCTCTTCCTGTTTAGAGGGCTTCTACGTCATCTCTTGCGTGGACCCTGACCCTCTCTCTCAGAGAGGAGACCCACACCAGCGCCTGGGCACACAATCGCACACAGTTCCCAGCTCAATGGCTGGCAGAGGAGCGAGGGTTGGGTCCTTCTGATTCACTCCTAGCGTGGTTTTCCTGCTCCCAGAATGAATCCTTCCATTCATCTGGGACTGGAATTTTCACTCGGGGAAGAGACCAGAGTGACGTAGAGCCATCATGGGAGGCTGATGCCCAAGGTCAAGTTCACCAAGTACATGGACTATGCCGAGCATCGTTAAATAAGGCCTAAGGCTACCATGGTCCATGGTGCCCAAAGGGTATCCATTGTTCTGGGCTAGGCTGTGCTTTCAAAATGTCACAGTGGGAAATGTCTAATATCGATGCCCTTTGCACACTGTGGACTTTGCGTGAAGAGTAAGAGGTCTTTGTTTCTGCTTCCTCTGTGCAGGCAGCCTGCCTTCCCCCTGTTTATTTAGTGAGTACCTGCACTACCACCCACCCACCCATTAGCTTCCCAGCAAGGCTTGTGACCAGTGACCTGTCCTATTAGGAAGAAAGCATTGGAT